CCCCCCCTCCCAGCACACATACTTTATGACCGGGCCCTAGAAAGCACGTTTTCCCATAACATATTTTTAATAGTATTACATTCTTTTGTAAATAAATGATTTTGCTGGTGGTGTTACATGTCGTGTTTTTAAGTTACGTAGCGACATGAGCTATGGGTAAGTGCATGGGCTGAGATATCACAAAATAATATCCCATTTGTGCTGTCTTCTATATTTTCAATATCATTAGTAAAAATGTTATCAATTAATGTGGCAGTGTGTTGTGTGATTCTTGTTGGTCATAATGTAAGTGGGAAAAATGAAGACGTAAACATTTGTTCAAGGAATCTGCTAGTATAAATCACAAGATTCTGATTTCAAGAGATCTGTATTAATTAATGAAATCTCCCATGAGCTGGCCTATCTTATTTTCTTTGTCTATTTTGCCTAGTATCTGATTCATTATATTTTCAAACAAATCAATTTTATTATTTGGCGGTTAACTACTAGGGTGAGCTGGAGTGTTTTGGGATGGGCCATGGAAAATCTTTGGGCAGTTTTTTTCTGTATGTCCACGGTTGGGCCACCAAACATAAACCAATATATTATATAAAGATATTAATAATAAAAGTAAACAAAACTATCCAAATGCAAATGATGCTATTGAAGCCAGTACTTTGATTTATCAAACAAGAAGAGGTGGTCGAATCACAGCAAATACAACCAAATGGAGGACAGCTCAGTATCGTAATTGGTGATGAATGTGTTGGTCAAGCTTGGTGGAATTACGTATGTCAATACAGTGCCAGTGTATATTTACAATGTTCATACCTTCAAATATTTTTTTTATAAAATTGTATTTTCCCAATTTAGATTGGGCGGGTGGGTCATGAAATAAATTTGGTAAGATTAGATGGGCTTTGAAATTTTTATCTACATCCTAAGATGGGTCACCAAACTTATTGAAAAAAATTGTGATTTACCTCCAGCCCACCCTAGCAGTTACTTATGACAAGTCCCTTAATAGTAATACGTTTCACCAACAGCTGTAACAAGTTTTATGAATATGGATTCAATTGTAGTTTACCGCTACGATTCATGATGATAAATACAGTAAGTAAGTAAGTAAGTTCGCAAAAAGTCCTCATTATTAATATTATTATCATTTAGCCACGTCTCAGTTCAGTTAAACCTATTATTTATAATGGTATGTTTAATTAATGATTTGGTTTACTCCTTCAAAGAGTCAAATTTATTAACTATTATGCTGGGCGTTGTGAAAACCCGGAATGCCGGAATATCACGGAATATCACGACATTTTCCCGGAATATACCTGGACATCACGATATTTTTCGATGGTAGCCATGCGACTGTTTATAAACATAGACGACTGACAACTCATATTTTGATTACAAAAGTGATGGATCTTTCCCATTTTGACGGTAAGTAACAAACAATAACTCTATACTGGAAGTTTTATATGTTGTTTGTTATTATTATTACTAGTGTTCACCAAAAATTTTGAATCAATATGATTTTAAAATTCCTCCTGAGTTACAACGTCTTGAAAAATAAAAGTGCTGACGTCAGCATTATTTTCGAACGCCTTCAGAACTGTGTTATACCATAGTTAATAGAATATATGGTTTGGAAACTCATTAGAATAACAATATAACTCATTATCGATGTTAGCCAACGTTTATTCATAAATATGTTCCTTCACCGTCGCGTGTGTATTGTATTTTTGCCAAATCCACCAATAGCAATTTCCAATTTATCCTATTGTTCGAGTCACGGACAGGCAACTTTCCTACTAACATTGCTATTGGTTAGTTGGGCAAAAATACAATACGCACGTGACGGTGAAGGACTAGATTTATGACTAAACGTTCACTAACATAGATAATGAGTTATACTGTCATTCTAATGAGTTTCCAAACCATCTCTTCTATTACTGCTATGGTTATACACAAAATTTAGTTAAAAATTCTTGGTTAAGGTTAAGACGGGACTAGACTTCTTACCTGATATAAACAAGAATTTAAACATTTTGGCTCAAACTTGCCTTTATTTTAGCATTTGATTTTTGGATAAATGCTTAGTGGCCATATGTAATGGTCAATTTTATACCACTAAGCATTTATCCAAAAATCAAATGCTAAAATAAAGGCAAGATTGAGCCAAGATGTTTAAATTCTTATTTATATCAGGTAAGAAGTCACGGGACGAAAAGACAGATTTACTGGGGGAAGTTGGGGCAGCCCCTTTGCCTTTTGCTAGGAGGGGCAAGGTAGGGGCAGAAGTGCCCTTTGAGTTATAAAATACTATCTGATAAATCACATTTCCAGTGATGCGTTTTGGGCAAAATCATGAGATGTGATCTTGAATGTGCGTTTGCTTTTTGTAATCAAAATATGTTGTCTACCATCGAAAAATATCGTGATGTCCAGGTATATTCCGGGAAAATGTCGTGATATTCCGTGATATTCCGCCATATTCCGTGATATTCCGGCATATTCCGTGATATTCCGCCATATTCCGGCATTCCGGGTTTTCACAACGCCCCTATTATGCTTCTTGTATTTAAGTGTAACATCGAAAAGCTTTCGTTGAGATTCGCCTTGTTGGTAAATTTATTGAAATCATTTGGTAAACTTAATATTCACAGTTGTTTATTATTGTTTTTTTCCATATTTGCGTTGTTTTCAGATTTATAGGCAATATTATTAAAACGAGTGTCGAAAGGGTTAAATTTCAAATGCCTTAGCCTAACCATATCGTTTTCACTAATATTTTTTCGTTTAAAACAGTAAATTAATACTCTAAATCGTCAAGTGTGTGGTAGTATCAGATAAGCAATTTTGACACATGTCAATAGTGTTATTTGTATTGGAGTCAAATGACTTTGCGCAAGCAGACACAGCGTGAAACAATTTTTCACATGTGAGACATTCAATATATTTTTGTGTTTCTTGAATTATTTTGAAGCAGGAATAGCATTTTTTCTTGTGCTTATTTTTACGAGTAGCCATTTAGAAAGTAGTTTTGTCCAATGTTAAATTAGATTTTCAAAACACACCGCAATATGCATGACATAGTATTAAGTGAGTGTTTGTATTAACGTGTATTAGTATTATTAAAAACTTGCCCTTCAATAATCAATTTATCCTTAACAATTCTTGATTGTTTTCCCGCAGCTCTTGCCTTCTTCAATTCAGGGAAGCAGCTCTTGCCTTCTCCGTTACGGCCAATTCGATGAGATCGGTCAATCTTGACATGCTTACGCTTACGTGCGTCTTCGATTTGAAGTAATGAACGATTTCTATCTTTTGCTCTAAGAGATCATGTATAATTTCCGTTGTATTCTCCTTCTCGTGTTCGGATATGTTGAAGAACAACAGGTTGTCGCGCATAGACCTCGCTTGTTAAGTCTATTATCTAATATCTTGTTGCGCATAGACTGTATATTAACATTATCGCATGTCAATAGCAATATAATTTCGTTTTGGAAAGTGATTTTGTATAGATTTTATTGATATTGTATCGATTTAACTCATAAAATATGCTTCGCAAGTCAACTGTTATATTTATATCATGATTATCGCGGATATTATATGTTTAACTCATGAATTTATTCATCGCACCTTGAAACTACACACTTGACTTGTTAGTGATACTGATATCATGTGTCTATTCAATAGCAATATGATTTCGTTTTGGGAAGTGATTTTGTATTGATATTGTATCGATTTAACTCATAAAATATTCTTCGCAACTCAGTTGTTATATTTACAAACAGGCGATTGCCGCGGATATTATATATTTAACTCACGAATTTATTTATCGCACTCGATCTTTCTCGAGTCTCGAAGCGAGATTCAAACGGAAGTAAGAAAGGCCTCTAAAGTGATTCTGTGATTCGTCGACCACCACGACCACCAATTAACATGCTCTAGCCAATGGCGTTAGACCTTGCAAACGGTGCGACCTAACAGCTTTAAGGCCCTGTTTCACGGTGCAATTTCTCATCAGTTTTCTTATGTACGTTCATTGGCAGCAAATGTATACAATTACTGACCCAAATACTAAGACGCTTGAAATTGATGAAAAAGCGTTTTCTTGTCGGGGAATAGACAACGAGACAACACAACATAACATAACACAACATAACATAACAAAATATAACACAAAAAGACTTTTTTTAACAAAAAACATAGTGGCATAAAATAATTCCGCGTAACACCTTAGTTATAGTGTGTCCAAGCGAGAAGGGTCAGTCCCACCCAAACATGAGAACAAGAGCACCATAGACCTCGAAATAATATCAGAAATGAAAAGTTGATTAAATATCGGCTAGCCATTGTCTCAGGTCGTGTCGTTACTCTCTGTCTCTACAATGTCGGCCTCGTCTACCTAAGAGTTACGTTCAGGGCCATAGCCTTCCCGCTTAACTAAGAATTGTTTCTTACCCTTATGTTTTCTTTGTTTCGAAATTTGCTCAGTCTTATACACGGTGTCTGCTGTGTCATGGGAAGCTGTGAACTAATGAACATTTTTGTGTTATGCGATACGGACCATGCCAGTGATGCATTAATTTGCGTGATAGACCTTTCCTTGTTTTGGGCTTATATACCTATACTCGATCTCCAAGGGTAAACTTAGGTTCACGAACTGAGCGATCATAAAAGTCTTTCATTGTTTGCTGTGTACGCTGAATATTCTCGCGAGCAATAGCTTGAGCTTCTTCTATTGTCTGGATTATACGAACTCTGTGTTCGCTGACAGAGTTTTTACGTTGGAAGGAGGAAGTAGCGAAGCATCAATAGGATATCTTGGTTCTCGTCCGTAAAGCAGATAAAATGGACTGTCTCCGGTGGCTTCATGAGGACTTACTCGATAACCAAATAATATCGTTGGTAGATGGGTGTCCCAGTCTTTCTGATCACGACTAACATACATTGATACACATTGGCAAAGAGTATGACTGAATCTTTCGACAGGACTGCCAGTTTGTGGATGGTACGCTGTGAACAAGCGACGTCAGAAAGCTAGTTCCTCGATCTGACAATAGGGTCTTAGGAGCGCCATGTGTTGTGACGATGTGATTAACAAGAAGACGAGCAATAGTTGGAGCATCTGTACTTGGAACTGCACACGCCTCAGGACATCGAGTAAGATATTCCGTAAAGACAACCACGTAGCGATTTCCAGCATTTGAGAGTGTGAAAGGACCTGAACAATCCACGGCGTCGCGATCGAAAGGATTTTCCACTGAAATGGCAAGAAGAGGAGCTTTATGTCAATTGCGAGGCGATTTCTTCATTGCACAATCCACGTAACTCTTGCACCATCTGTCAATATCCCGGAACATATTGCACCAGTAATACCGAGTGCGGACTTTGCCATATGTCTTCTGTGTTCCAAGATGACCAGCCGTAACGTCGTCGTGAGCCCAAGCCATAACTTCATGCTTTAAAGCGCCTGGGATTACGAGTAACACGTTCTAGTATAGGGTCCAATATTCTGTTTAGCCAGAAATGGTGCCAATTTTCGTATTTTTAAACAAATTTGTCCAAAACTGAAAAACACAGAAAAATTGGTGCTTAAAAACACCTTTTGTGAAAAAAAAGAATGCAAATTTTCTTCTCTTGCCAAAACAACCAAATTTACCTAAAATGAACAATACATTTTATAGACTGTTCTGAAAAGGATAAAATAATGCAAAAGTAGCATGAGAGCTAACAGTGAAAATATGTTGGTTTAAACAAAGGCATCTCTGATCAATTTATGGAATCTATATCAATGTTTCGATGTATCGAGACCATGCCAATGCTTCGATTTATCGAGACCATGTAATTTTTTCGATTTATCGAAACCAAGTCAATGTTTCGATTTATCGAAGACCATGTCAATGTTTCGATTTATCGAGACCATTTCAATGTTTCGATTTATCGAGGCTATGCCAATAATTCAATATTTAATATTAAAGTTCAATGACCTCAATCAAGTGAGATGTCCAAACAAATCCTGTTATATTAAAATATTACACTATCAAAAAGCTGTCAAGCGAAAACATTTTTGACTTTGTAAGAAATAAATCAGTTGCAGAGAGGCCAAAATCCTGTGAAACTGTTAACTCAAGACAAAATTTTTCTCATGTATTTTTATATACACGAGTTGCATTTACAAAACCAGCAAAATAAAATTCCGTCAAAAGATATCAATATTGTCCTGAGATAATGAGATTGTACTCTCTCTTCTGGGGAAATTAATAGCAATTGATGTAGTACATATCTTGCTTGATTTAATCTTTAAGTATTCCTGCGTTGAGAAGTAATAAACGTTCAAATATTCCGGCGATAAAGAAGCAAACGATTTGAATACTCGCAAATGTGAAAAAATGCGTCAGGCAAGGGTCGCGGTGCGCAAAGCATGTTGGTACTATTTTTTACCGAACTCGAAGCGAGCTGTTTCGATTATGTCCTTTTATCGACATCGTTGTGTACTTGTGTTTCGTTTCATAAACCGCTGGTTATTATTCATTTTTATGGCGCACAATATCTATAAATTTTGAATTCGAATCGCATTCAACGGCGTATATTAGCGTTATAATAGCCATACTATGGTAAATCTTTGTGAGGACAGTGCTTCAATGCTTGGATATGAATAATGAACATGAATATTAAATTTTAACAAAATTGAAGCTAACTGAACAGTCGAGCAGAGCATTGAATTGCTGCCAAGGTCCAGATCATGGTCAAGATAGTGCGAATTTCAGGTTGGTAGATTTGTTTGAACGTTTGAAACGGTCCAAAGTATTGTGTTTGCATTTTTAAAATACATATCTCTTCTTGTCTGTGTTTTTATAACTGTACAACATAGGAAAGATCATCCCTTCTAGTCTTCAATATTCACTATTTAGTAAATTTTTCTAGATTATTTTACTCTGTCTGACGCCAGCTTGATAATTTTATACTCGATGAGGGGCTGACCAGACTATTTCCCCATCTGTCTATTAATTCAAGCAAGAAAGGTTTAAATGTTCATATATTTTGCCACATGTCTGCCACTGGTCATGAAAGTGGTTTGACTGAGGCTATGGTTCACACTTCGCATAGTTTACAGATACAATAAAAGTATATAAGGCCCCTGGCCCCGTACATAAGCCCCCATCAAAAAATTTTACGAACGAATATAAGCCCAGAGCATATAGTCGGAGGTTCACAGTATGCCATTATATATCTGACTCTATTGTGTTCTTTGATTGGCAGTAAAAACTGTAATCATTTTAATGATATCTGCTCTTATAGTTTTTTCCATTCTTTTAGATTGATGTAAACCAATTGATATTTCACTTTTGAATGCTGTAGTACATCAAACACAAAAGAACCAGGTTTAACCATAGAGGATTCAGACCACCTGATAAAGGAGATTCACAGTAGCACAGCTATACAAGAAGGTATATAATCAGTACCATGTAATGTTTTGTGAAGATAAACTATTTTGATGTATTGCATCGCTGCTGTGAGACTGGTTTATCTGCAGTGCTCTGCATGTTACCGGGTCCAAATGCACTGTCGTGGGAAAATTTCCTAAAGCAATAGTTATAGGGCAGAAGAAACTCTTAAAACAGAATTTATTTGTTACTATACCGTACAGTCTAATGAAGTGATTTTAGTCAATATAGATATATACATATGTTGTTTTTGTATATGTATAATTAATATAGCTAGCTATACTGTACACAGGGGCCGCCTAGAGAATTTGCGGGGCCCGGGTCAAACCTTCCCTGGGGCCCCATGACATCATTGTTTTTAAGCTAGACCCAACTAAACCTTAGCTAGACTGCATGTGGAGGTACTACAAGTAGCCCTCAATTTCAAAAATGCTCTTCATAGAACCTACTCAATTTTAGGCTCTTGCTCTCAAGTTGGGGGCCTATTAAGGTTGGGGCTCAGGGCAATTCCCCCCCCCCCCTTGGCGGCCCTGACTGCACATGTGATTATTTTGATTATAGCTAAATAGAATATGCAATCCTATTGTAGAATGTGTTATATTTTGAGTGTATACCATTTTGCTAACCCATTGAGCTGAATTGTTTCCTACTTTGTTGTTTTACTATCAATATTTAAAACATGGCTTGTTTTGGCAAGACATGACATCCTTTTGGATTTTCACATATTGAATTTGAAAGAATGTTATTTCTGCGATATATTGAAACAATGTCATTTCTTTGATGTATCGAATCCATGGTTAGTTTAGAGATTTCGACATATTGAAAAAAATGGCAATCTTTTTGATATATCGAAGAAATCGCATACTTTCAATATATACAGTAGAAGCGATGGATAGTTTAGTTTTCGATATATCGAGGAAATTGCAATCTTTCGATATATTGAGGAAATTGCAATCTTTCGATATGTCGAAGAAATGGCATTCTTTCGATATATCGAAGAAATGACATTCTTTTGATATATCGAAGAAATGTCATTTTTTCGATACATTGAGGAAATTGCAATCTTTCGATATATCGAAGAAATGGCATTCTTTCGATACATCGAAGCATTGGATAGTTTAGAGTTTTCGATATATCGAAGGTGGCATGTGCTATGTTCTTGACATTTAATTTTCACTGACTGTGGCTTCCTCCAGACCTGTTTTGGAACTATAACATTTTCCTCTTTTTTTCCCTTTTATTCACATGCCTTTTTCTCACTTTGCTAAAAACAATAAATTTTTAAGCAATTTTTTCCTCTTAGAGATTTAGTATCATTTTAGTCATATCTTGCAACTTGGAAAAGCTAAAATTGTTGCAAAATGTGTATGTTTTTGCTGAATATATTTTCAGTCATTTTTAACATGCATTTTATGTGATTTTCCTATTAAAACATGAAATCTGTCATTGTCCACATTTGCAATTATTCTTATGTTTTTAAACAATTTTATCATGTTTGAAAAGGAATTCTTGTTTTCATGCAGAATTATTGCATTTATGTATAATTTCTCCACAGTCATGGCTGTATTAATTGCATTTTTAAGTGTTTTCTTTCATTTTCCTCTCAAATTCTGTTAAATAGAATGTTGGACCCTATAGTAAAACGTGTTGTATTGGAAACATACATCCCGTTGCTTACGTTTGCCGGGTGTCCACCGGGAAAATAATATACCATTGCCATCCAAATAAAATTTGTCACCATAAAGTACAAACGATCGAGCTTTGTTGTTGTTAGGTGGAAGTTCATTAGTCTCCAGGAACGTAATGAGATCGGATAGTTCAGCATCTTGACGTTGCAGTTGACGAATACGGTCAAATGCTACACCAGGTAAATCGTATGCCTATACCTTAACTTGGAGTTCATATGGACGACGAGAAAGGGCGTCAGCGTCTGAATTATGTTTTCCGGGCTTATACTCGATTGAAAAATCGTATTGTTGTAGCATGCAGTATAGCCCTGCGCGCAAGTCGACAACTTGGATCCTTAATTGACATCAACCAGCGAAGAGCATGGTGATCCGTATAAAACTTCCAATCATGTAGTTAGTTCCGAAATTTCTTCATTCCTTCGGAGATACCTAGTGCTTCTCGTTCAGTTGTACTGTATTTACGTTCTGCTGTGGTTAAATCACGGCCGCCGTATACGATAGCACGACTTTGGCCGTCTTGGGTTTGGCACAGCGCAATACCAATGCCATTCGATGAAGCGTTGGTACTTTTTAACTCGAATGGCACAATAAAATCAGGGTAAGCCAAAATTGGTGCTGACGCAAGACAATATTTTAAGGTGTTAAACGCTTTGTCGCAAGACTAGTCCCAATAAAAAAGTACTTTCTAATGCCTAAGATTATTTAATGGCGATACTATGGATGCGAAGTTTCTTATGAATCTACGGTAATAGTTTGCTGAACCTAAAAATCTTCTGACGTCCCGAACACATTCAGGGACTGGGACGTCTTTTACAGCCGCAATTTTACTAGGATCTGGTCGGATACCATCGCGTGAGACAACATGTGCAAGATATTCAACACGAGAGGGCGCAAATGAGCACCTGCTAGACTTGAGTTTAACAACTGTAGAACGGAGCCTATTAAAAACATCATTTAGAGGGTTTAAATGATCATCAAATGAGCGCGAGTAAATTATAATTTCATCCAAATAGACTAAGCAAATATGGTATTGAAGACCACGTAAAACGGCATGCATAAGACGTTGGATGTAGAATGGGCGTTTACTAATCCAAAGAGCATTCGACAAAGCTCATATAAGCCACTACGTGTTACAAAAGCTGTTTTTGGTTTCGATTCGTCATCTACTTCGACTCGCCAATAGCCTGATTGCAGGTCAAGGCAGGAAAAATACGAAGTACCATGTAAACAATCAAGAGTGTCTAGTACGTGAGGAATTGGATGAGAATCCCACCTAGTGATTTATTTAACTGCCGATAGTCGACACAGAAACGGTGCCAGCCTTTTTTTTAACTAAAACGACGGGAGCAGCAGCGAGGCTTACTGAAGGCTGAATAATACCTTGATCAAGCATTTTTTGTACATGATTGTCGATAATATTCCTTACTGAAGGTGAAACACGATATGGTTGTCGATAGTTTGGTCGAGAATCGCCAGTGTCGATATGGTACTCTACCAGTGAGGTTTGGCCTAGTTCATCATCAGTGATTGCAAATACGTCATGGTTATCTCACAATAGCTGACGTAATTGTGCTTGTTGTTTATCATCAAGGTCGGAATTACTATGATCTATTGACTCAAGCAGTAAGCTAGTACGTTGAGGTTTATCCTCTGGTATAGTCCTTGTATCGATAACAGTGACAACTAACGGTTCTTCATATGAAGGAAACTGACCTAGGTTAGTGCAGCGATAAATAGTTACAGGCTGCGATGTATCGTTAATAATGCGGAATGGCACTGTAGACTTTTCTTTTACCGTAACAAGCGTTGCTGCGCCGCAAACATGATAACGTTCGGCTAATGTTGGATTGGACTCGATGTTACCTACTAAACCGTCCGGTGACAGATCTGCATCGCATTTTAATGTTGCTGGAATAATGGACTCTGAAAACGTTGGCAATATACATGTCATACTTGCATGAACAGAACATGCAAGAGAAGGTGCGGGACTAGGCGGTGATGTATCAGCAGGTTGTGGCAATCGTAATTAGATACCTGCATCAAAGTCAGCAACAGATTGATAGTGTGTCAGAAAGTCGGCACCTAGTATGACATACAAGAAAAAACATACTCCGAAGAATAACATCTTGTAAACTCAAGATATGAGCTATAACACAAGACAACAATTTTGCGGTGATATTTCGACTCTATTTCAAAGTAATTGTCAAACCAGAATAAGCTATTTACAAACTTGCTATCATATTATATACAAAGAAACAGGAAGAGATGACGTATTGGAAACATTACACTATTGACATACAATGATACTAAATTAAGAAAAGACCACGAGTTCTTTAGACGCTCTTAATCCGTTATTAAGCACGGGCTTTCTGTATTTAATATACAGAGCTTCAAGGAATAGGAGAAGGTTGGAATTTGTGTGCTTAAGAGTGTGAAGAGTTTGAGTGTTAGTCTGGATGAGATTGTGAAAAGAGAGCGATATGTCTAGTTTGACTGTGTCACTGTCATTTATGTCATTAAGGTTGTCAAACATGTGGTTCAAATTAAGGATGAAATTAGCATGTTCACATTCCGACAGATGACATCATTGGCTAAGTTTTCCACAATATAATCATAAAAAGGGTAAATTTACTGCCCAATTTGAAACTTGATTAATGATAGACCATCAATTGGTACACTTTTGCCACTAACTGTCTTAATAGAATGTGTCATGAGCGTACTTGTTGGACGCTTAGTAAGTTCTGGCAGTTGCTTAATCCCAAAGTTTTGGTGGTGATGGCAGCACCAGGATCACACAAAAATGAAAAAGGACGCTCACAAATTTTAGCAGGTACGAAAGGGCAATTATTGTGTGTTTTAAAGTGAACAGTAATAGTACATACAGTAGAACAAGCAAAGTCATCAGATATTTGATCGAGAACTGGAAATACAAGTCCCTCTAAGACAGTGTTTAATACGAATGTCTTATCATGCATCTCAACTTCTTTGTCACTATTGTGAGATATATCAACTAGATTATCACATATTGGTACATCTATAGCATTATGCGTGCATGGAAACTTTCCACTAATATCTCTGTTTGCTGGCTGTGGTTCACATGGTGAAAAACGTGGATCATTATCACTAACAATTTCATTCATCATACACATATTTTCATCATTTGTGCTATCACAGTTTACAAGTAGATTGTTGGCGAGTTCCTGTTTTACATATATTGCATTAGAGGTTTGGTCTGCAATTGATTCAAAATCTATGTCAACAATGTCTGGACTTGACTTCAGTAATTCTGTTCATACTCGAGATATCTGTAGTAATTTGTTCATTTTCATCCACATTAGCAATATCTACAATATTTTCAACAGGATCCTCAATTCTTGCATCACAATTTGGTATTTTAAAATCGTCCTTATTATACATATATTTTTTTTCTCGATACATTTTGTATCGTTTAAATTGAATAATAGTTAGCTTCCCAATCGTCCCGGTATAAGGAAGCTGCTGCTAGATTCCCGACTCCGGTTGAAATGGATTGGTTCTGGTACGCGCTTGTTGAGAAACGAATGTGGGAGCATCTTGAAGGATTTGAGAGTTGTACTGATTCATTTGATGTTGCTTGGCAGGGCGAACATATGAATGGTGCTGGGTTACTCGCGGGGCTGGTGTTGCATGTGAGGACGGATATACGAATTATATTTGGGGCCCTGTGGGAAATGATGTTGCAGGCCTCCCGTTCTGCAGTTGCGAGCGATATGGCCAACTTGTCACATGTGCTGCAAATGGGTAGGCCATCTGTAGTGCGGCGATTAGGGCTAGAAGGAATACCGGAATTTGACGGTCTGTTTAATTTATGGGTGCCGTGCCATTAGAGAAGCAGATCATTTAGCAAACTTGAAAGAGGCTTTCTCAACGAACACCCCCAATTTAGCACCGCAAAACTTAAAGCCCAACTACAATCATTATCAGTCATTAAGAATTGAAAGACATTGGCCACAACACAGAAAACTAACGCACATAATGTAGCCGCATATAACAGTACATGTCTACAAGATCTAGTTTTCCACATAAAACCAACATTGAACGACACCATTACGACCGAGACCAGGTAGCAAAAATTGGTTCAGGAGGAAGTACGGCGATCGATCCGGTCGTTAGTTTGCTGTGTTGTGGCCAATGTCTTTAAATTCTTAATGACTGATAATGATTATAGTTGGGCTTCAAGCTTTGCTGTGCCAAATTGGGGGTGTTCGTTGAGAAAGCCTCTTTCAAGTTTGCTAAATGATCTGCTTCTGCTAATGTTTGGAGTTGGCCTAATATAACATATGACCTTTTAAGTCTGTTCGAAGGCCCTCAATGAAATAGTGGATGCCTTCGGTGTCGTTTGAGGCCGGGGTTTGTACAATGGCCTTATGTCTGATGCATAATTGGTTAAAGTTTCTGTCTCCCCTTGCTTGCGTGCGAATAGTACGTTGTTGACACCAGAGCCACACGAATGCAGGGTTACTAAAATGACCTTTGAATGCTAGGTTATTATATGTCTCAATAATCTTTGTATCTATGCTTGTATACCAAGAACTTGTATTGCCATAGAAATATAGGGGTAGTGCTCTTAAACGTTTCTTGTTATCCCATTAATCTACAGAATTCAGAGTAGCGCTCAAAATGACTCAATAATGCTGGTAAGTCATCAGTAGGTTTGCCATAGAAGGGGTTAGGATGTAGCGCAGGCCCAGTTGCTATGATGTTTTGTGTTGGGTAGCAAATCCTCGAGTTAAGCCCCTCGAGTTAAGCCATTCGAGTTAAGCCCGGACCACGCCCTTTCGAGTTAAGCCCCGACCACGCCAACACCACGCCCATGCCACACCCATTTCCGTTGAGGGCTTAACTCGAAATACATAACCGGAGTTGGGTACTTCGAGTTAAGCCCTCTAGAAAGCAGAGGCTTAACTCGGGAAAAGTCAAACATTTTGTTCTTCGAGTTAAGCCCCAACGTTTGAAAGATGTGAACGAGTTACGGTTAATCTGATCCCAAACAAATTAAAATGTCATTTGGATCGCGTTTCGTTCAATCACGGTTCAATAGACTTAATATGTTTTATTTCAGTCGACATATTATTAAAGGAATAAAGATGGACCTTTTCTGCCGTAAAGGTCAATCTTAAAATATTATCAAATGGTATTCCGGTGTCCCAAAAAACACTGGACTCTGGTTGATTTCAAGTAACGTAATAGCTATAAAAGCTATCGCAGATTCGCAATGAAATGAAGATCATTGCATTCATAATGGACTAACTTAGATTTTGATTAGCAATTAATTACGAACGTGTCATTTTAAAAATGAGCTCAGGGCTGGTTTACAAGACGTTTCTGATAATTATGCATACGCAGGTATTTTATTGAAGTTCAATTCATCAACTTAAGTCCTAAATTGTAAAACGAGTTAATATTCAATAGTTTTATACCCAATTCTCAACGGTGGAAATATGCACTTTCGGTGGAAATATTCACTTAATTCACACTGTACGGTTCTTACAACGTACTACTCAAGTCTTCATTATATGGAACGATTTCATTACACTGCACAGATTTCAAAACGGAAAGGGTCGCAAAATGTCGATCGCCCCGGCCACAAGGTGCGAAATGCAAATCTACCTTAAATACCGGTCCGCCCCCCGCCAAAAAAAAACAACTGGACACTATTTGATTTCATGTAACGTAAAAGCTATAAAAGCGATAATGCATTCAGAAATGACTAACTTCGATTTTGATATATAGCACTTGAATTTACATGCAATATTGATTGCGCTATTGATGTTTGAACGTTGAACTACTGTTTTTGAAAATGCAAACAATTAGCATAAAACAACACTTATAATTATAATTACTGATGTAGTTATAATTGTTAATTTTTATGCAGAAGTTGCTCTAACTTCGAACAGCTAACAGTTGACTTCAAATTGCCATTTGAAGTTTGCGGTTAGCGGTTTGCCGTAACGTCAATCTTAAAGTCCCTAATATATACTAGAAATACATGCATGCAGTGGCCCCTCGCCTTGCTAACCAAACCACTATATCTTTCAAAAATGAAGTATCAGCAGTAGTTCTGGTTGCACAACATATTTTTTATTCAAAATTGTATAATGAAAATAAAAAAACATTAATTATAATTTTTCACAAATGAAAGTTAAGTCGCAGGCCTATGCATGGTCAGGCATATGTGGTAAATTCCCTACCACAGAATAAAGACATACAGAAGTGTAACTTCCATTACAAAACCATAATGCGCTTTTTGCCAAAATAGCTGGCGGCCATGTTCTTAGCAAGTGCCCTAAAGAGAGGCATTCAACCCCTAGAATATTAAATTTTCAATATGTTTTAAGGGGGGGGGGGGGGGGACTGCCTCTCTTTAAGGCACTTGTTAAGAACATGGCGGACTGAAAAAATCCCTTACGCAAAATTAACCTGAAGTGAGATCTCTGTATGTACTTCCTCTCCGTCCCTAGCATGGGGGAAGAATTGTCAATGTCTCACTCACAGCATACCAGACAGAAGTCAATGTCCGTTGTTTTTTTCTGCTTAAGCACAAGTACTCGATGATTTTAAAACTTCCAAATCCTTAATTTCAAATGCCCCACCCCCGGCAAAGGTTTATTCAAGCCCCAGACATGCTTTACAGGAAAATAGCCCTGGATTGGGAGGGTTGGGCCACGCTTAGATTTGACTGATGCATTAAAAGTCATTGAAAAAGAAAAACTTTTCATATTGCTACTATGAAATGGTTTATTCCAAACAGCATGACAGTGCAATTGCTAGAATAAGAAGTTATATTTACTGGACAGTAAATAGCAATAAACAGTAAATGGTAGACAGTAAATAACAATAAACAGAAATGAATTTAATTCATATCACGGCTAGTATTACAATTTCATTTTTATACTGTAAAAATATAAACATGCAGTCACAGATATGCAAAATTGGCTTATTTGTAGATTTAATGATAGCAGATAGCAGTAAAAGTTATCTTGTCTTCACATCGCTTTATACTGTAAGTCAATGCTTCTAAATTTACATATTTCAGAATCAGTTCATTTCCTCTTATTAAACTGCATGTATTTCTACATTAATCATTGTGAGTACCAAGCGGGTTTACTATAAACGAACTAAAATTTAGTCTTTAGGAATTTATAACATCTTTCAATGATCGTTGGACATTCGGACACAGTCGGAAAAATGTTGATAGTATCAATGCTGTACCGTCGCTTGCATCTAACGATGAACGGTTGCTCATAAAAAATTACATATATTTGCGTGAGAATCTTCAATGTTACACTAATTGTCAATTGAGCAACAACACTTAGTTGACATGTTTTCATTTGATCAGCCAATAACGTTCAAGCAGCTACAAGCTTGATTGGCTTTGAAACCATGAAGTGATCATCACAAACGTTGAACTTTTTCAGTAAGAACATTGAACTTTGTGAAGAGAATAGACAATGTGTTATCTGCAACTGTTCACCGTTAGTTGCAAGCGACGGTATTTCTAACCACGGAGTTATGGCAGTTAAGTCAGCATGAAATTGCCTGTGACATTATTAATATTACTGACTTGAACTTGTATGACAAACACTTTATTGGCAAATTTTAAGAAACAGAGGGTGGAATTTCATACTTGTATAGCTATTATTGGTATAGCATTGCGAAGACAAGCCACAAGGTACAGTCATAAATTTACACATTTGTAATTTTTATCTTATAATTAATGAACGAATAAAGTATATTTACAGAGCAATTACTGTATCTATAGAACATGGCCATGTATGATCACGATACTGTAGTTTCATGTATAAAGTCTGTCTGTATGAAGCGGGCTATCTGCTGATTTATGTCAAGAAAATATATCCTTTGGCACTCCCAAAGCCAAAAGGAAATTTGACTAAAAGATTAATACTAATTCTTACCATCATCAACATGGACATCTAAAATAAAAGATGTTGTGTTAGAAGGTTAAGGATGAAGTTACTGTGTCACATGCATGATATTGCAAATTGGTAACCCGTATAATGTTATAACGATGCTCTGTAAAATGAAATTGTCAGTACAGTATATACACTTTATTACATTGTATAGCTACTGCAGGAGAGGGCAATCTACAACTACAATGTATTGTACTCACTTGGTAATTGGGTTGAATTTTAACATGTTTACATGAGAGAATATTTCATTGTGGCCGGCCAAGAGGGTTTTCGAAAAACCAATTGGTCACAACTTTACCTTTGCATGGTCACTGGAATATTGGTCACAAAAATATACCTCGAGCTCACAAATATACCTTGAGGTCACAAATATACCTCTGTACAACTGTAAGCAAACAATTGGTCACAACTGGCCTCTGTTCACACCTAGTATTTACTATTAGTTGTAAGTCCATTTAATTTTATGTGAGGTCCAACCAGCTAGAACAAATGTTGCTTTATGTAAAACCAAAAAGTAGATATTATATACCGCATATTTATTGTAATGTACATACCAAGAATAGCAGGATCGTCCAGTTCCGGTAATTCCACTAAAATGAAACAGTTATAATATAGGGATTAGTTATGAAATAGCCAAGTTTATAAGTCCAAGCTGTACCTATATGTTCAATATGGTTTTATTCGCTTATTCAAAAAATTGGAGCAACTTACTTTTGTGTTTGTTAAATTTTTGCTATAATTATAAAAAAAAATTAAAGGATATCATTAATAAAATACAACATCTCCACTCCCAGTGCATATTAAACAAATATTGAATAAATTTTTATCTTGATATTGAACAGGAATGTTTTTGGCCTTGAAGCAAAGGCTGTTTAACATCAGCTAAGAAGCATACTAAAAATAATTTTAAAATATAGTCGTACCTTTCCGCCAAATTATTTGAAATACCTGTAAAGAACAACAAAAAAAACTGTTAAAAAACAAGAAAAACTTTTTTCTTGTGACAAACTCGAAGTAAATGAAGTTATTTTTGCCCAAAATATATATATTCTACAAATAGTAGTGTAATTATTTTTCGTTCAAAGATACAGTGTGTGTTCAAAAAACTTGAACAAATTTTAAAGCTTTTTTTTCGGAAAAAACTTACTGTCAGTTTATACTGCCTCACAAAAAAGCCAAAAACCAAAATTTCGCACGCTTCGTATTTACGTGGATGTTGCGTGTGAATTTTCGGTAACCATAGTAACACACGCAATATCCACGAAGAGTGATCTTAGTCACAAGAAGTATAAAAAACATTTAATTTATAAACACTAAACTTTAATACGAGTTATACCAATCAACGACTGATTTTACAAAGCTTAAAAAATCACTATCCGGTGGATAGCACAACCCGGCCTTCGTTTTAATGGCCCCTTGCACATGACGTCACAGTGCCTATGATGATGCATCTGGAGGACAAATTAGCAATCTATGCATAATCTAACTTTTGTAACAAAGCAATTTTTGTAAAACTTTATAATTATTTTGTATTAAAATGGTCAATTTTTAGCTATATGTGGTTTTTGTACCCGAACAAATAGTGTTAGGGAGCATTTGGAGGACACTTTAAGGATTTATGACATCAGTGCAATGGGTTTATAGGCTTCGTACAACCGGCCCCTATAGTCTTGCTCTGAAGGGAATTGTTTTATCAATAGAATAGTTACTCAAAACAGGAGAAAAATCTTACCTTTATATGAATTTGGTTCAATTTCTAAAGATATAAAATATTATGTAGAACACAAAGACAAAGTTTTAAATTTATAGTATACTGTATATACGTCATAATATTATTTAATATAAAGTACAGGTATGTCAACATGCAGCCAACCTCAAAAACAATATATAATATTATGTCTAGGTAACAGGCAATGACAAACTCTCTGAATGCCTTCCTCAAAAACACAATAATAGAGGCATAAACTACACCTTTAAAATTGTGCCTAGTAACAGGAGAAATAACCTCGAAAGCACAGTATATGTGCCCAGTATACTATACTGGTGCTTGAACACCACAACTCTTCAACTTATGACAACTCATGACTTATTATATGTTTGGACAGTTTTCTCTGCTAGCACTTTAAGTCGCTGTTCAGCTTCGAGTCGTTTTTGCATATTTTTACTCCTACCAATTGCTTTCAGGCGATAAATGTCATAGGTTCAAACACAATATCATGAATCGATCTCACCCGTGACGTAGCTACAAACGTACATCCAGCAACTTTTTCTCCTTTACCTAAATCAACAACAGCTTTTGTTAGTGTCTGTCCTTGTGACTTATGAATAGTCATTGCGTACCTTAACCACAAGGGCACTTGTTGCCTTGACAGATACTTTCCATCAGCCACCCATTCAAACACTTTGGGTGGCACAGGTACACATTTAGAACATGCATCTAGGAATGCAGGACCAGAGTAACTATGAAAGTGTACCAATACTGCTATTGGTAAGTTCGGTGGACCCATATTCTCTGCAAACCAAATCTGCTCGATAGTGCCAAATGAACCATTGCAGAGACCAACTTCAGCCCACAAGTTGCAAGTGAGCATTACTTCTGCTTTTGTAGACAAAAACAGAACAGCATCCAATCCACCAGCTTCGTCTGATGTGGCTGCACAGGCACCATGACCAGAATGCTTTGCCTGAATTTTAGCAACAGGTTGTCCAAGCTGCAATAGCTTCCCGTAATTGTATTCAGCGACACTTTTCTTGTCAAAGTACAATCGGATGGCATCAGTGAACTGATCCATTGGTACACTTGTTGTTGAATGCTCCAACATTAGTTTCCAGTCCTCCTGTGTCACTTCTCCATTTCGCATTCTCATCAGTAGGGCTCTAAAAGCAACTGCCTCGGCATCCTCACCAGCCTGACGCATAACTTGATATAAAATAATAACAGACTCAAACATGAGATACAGACTATGTCCATGGTCACTTACTATTGTTCCATTACCTGAAACATACATTGGCTTATCACCAACAGGTGGTAATTGACCAAAATCACCCATTAGAATTACTGACATACCACCAAAAGGGATATCTTCCTTTC